TTCAGGTGTTTATGCGGTGGTGCAATCACTGGAAAATGCATTGTGGCCACCAATAACATTACTATTCGTCACCGGAGTGCTAAAATACATCGAGAGGACACGCGCATTATATACAGCAAGCTTAGACAAATTCAAAGACAAAATGCTTGACCCACCAGACAGTGGTCCTAACTACGCCAAGCTCATGGAAGAATACGATTCAAGGCTAAAGTCGAATCTCCCAATGAAAATCGTCCTCACCGGGGAACCGGACAAGCACGAGAGGCCCCCGACACTTGTTAGACCGGATCGAGACCATTTAACCGATCTTGAAATCATTCAATACGGTTTCAGATTCTTTAACATTTTTAAAGGACTTGTTGTTGATCTCATTTTCAGTTTCCATGAGCGAGACGAAAGCAGAGATTTCTTCAACAAGTTGGAACCGGAAGAAGCTCTTCGGATTATTGAATCCGAACTCAGTTTTCTATACGAATCCATGTATACGAAAACCGCGATTCTTCATACGAAACTTGGTACTCTGTCTCGGTTCATAGCGTTTGGATCGCTACTTTCTGCCTTCTTTGTCTTTCACCGTAAACCGAGTAAGGAGACGGATTTTCATGGAGCAGATGTTGTGATTACCTACACTTTGTTCATCGTTGGTATCGCGCTTGATCTCGTGTCTATGGTCATTTTCTTGCTCTCGGATTGGACATTCGCGGAATGGAGAAAGCTTAAGAATGATCCCGAGGAAAACAAGAGTCCAATCGATGGCTTGCTCAATTGGTTACTCTGGTTTAGGAGACCGCAGTGGAAGAAGCATCCAAAATGCAAAGGAGACCGGACTCACGAGGTGCTCACGACGCCGTTTTTGTTGCGGAGATGGTCAGGTACGATCTACGGATTCAACTTCATCGGATACTGTCTGAAAGCCAAAGTCTCAAGAATCCATCAGAAGACAACGTACAACGTGTTGAGGAAGTTAGCGTGGGAATCCGTGGTTTCGATGTTCGATTACGTAATCAGAAGAATCCAAATGTTGTCTGGAAGCATCAAGGATGGTAATAGATCAATCGGTATAGCGATAAGGAGATGGTCTAAGAAGAAACAGATGATGTATTACACGGTTTATCCGTTATACCTCGTGTTCTTTTCAGGGATTCCTTGGGTTTTCGGAGAACTTTGGGGTTACATTGATCGAATCTTCAGTGTTAAAGCACATCTTGACGAGATCAGATTCCTATCGAGAGAGCCTTTGCCGAAGAATCAATGGAAGTTTATATTCTATGAGCTGAAAAATAAGTCGGAGTTGGCAGAAACACCTGAAATGGCAAAGAAAGTGTCGTCGGCGAGAGGAGAATGGGCTTTACGGGACACGAAGATGACGGAAATCGAGACATTGCTGCGTTATGTAGAGAATGTTGATTATGATCAAAGTCTTCTCCTTTGGCATATTGCAACTGAGCTCTGTTTTCAAGAAGAGGAAAAGAATCTGAGTGGAGAGAGTTGTGATGACCGCGAATTCAGCAAGATTATGTCGGATTACATGATGTATTTGCTGATAATGCAACCGAAACTGATGTCGGAAGTGGCGGGAATCGGGACTATACGATTCAGAGACACTTTAGCTGAAGCTCAAAGGTTTTTCAAAGGAAGGCATATCAAGAACAGAGATATGAAACAAGCGAGCGAGACGATTATATCAGTTAACAACGATATTGAGCCGGTGAATGTGAAGGGAGATCGAAGCAAATCGGTTCTTTTCGATGCGAGTATGTTGGCCAAAGAGCTTATGAAACTGGGAGATGGTAGTAGAAATCATGGAGATGGGAAATGGAGAGTGTTGAGCAAAGTATGGGTTGAGTTGCTATCTTACGCAGCAAGTCATTGTAAAGCTACGGAGCATGTGGCGCAACTTAGCAGAGGTGGAGAGCTTCTTAACTTTGTTTGGTTGCTAATGGCTCACTTTGGTTTAGCAGATCAGTTTCAGATCAATGAAGGAGATGCTAGAGCTAAACTCGTTGTCGGAGATTCATAGTTATTAATTATAACCCAAAAACTAAATCAAATCTTTTATTTTTGTGTGTGTGTTTATTTGTAATATTTATGTACTGATCTGTTTTATATTTTCAAGCAATGTTCTTCAAATATATTGATTAACGACATAGATTGTTGAACCCATTAACGTAATCAAGCACAATAATGATCCGTTACTTTAACCATATAAACCCTAAAAACTTAGTA